AAAAAAAAGTCAAATTGCAATTTACTGTACACAGCAAAGAAATTATCTATTCCTTATCTATGAGGAGTAGAAGACAACAGATTTGAGTTACCCTACAATTTCTGAGAAGTGAAATCCAGCTTTCACCCAACATTCTACTTGTTTAGTGAGCTACACTAATAACTGCCTTTTATCTGAAGTATGAGCTCTTTCCATAAGTACAAGATTCTGCATTAAAGAACCAAACCACAGACCAGACCAGTTCTCTACTTCACTGAAATCTTCACAGCAAATCAGAGTTTTCATGTTTTGCTGACTTCAGATCTTCAAAGAGTTATTGAGACTATATTAGTAGTATGCTAAAATTCAGCAATCTTGAATAATCAGAGATCTAGAAGCCTAAACAAGTTAGACTCATGAGAATGGCCTAGGCAGAAGATTTTTTTTTGTACTTCTGTTGTGGTCTTCCCCCCTCTTTACGGGATTCTTCTAATCAGTGTGTAGAACCAAGGTTCAAATCCCATTATTACACATCTGTCGATCTTATTAGATAGAGCTGCACTGTGTAGTAAAATGCCCATTCAAATGACAAGCATGTCTTAGTGATGTTCTGCGGAAATCACACATGAACAAACTTCGAAGAGAGAAACAGGATTTAGCTTTATAACCAACACACTAAGGTTTGGAGATGGTGAAAAGCAAGCATCAAAACTTGTAATATATTTATTACTTTCATATCTCATTAAAAACTCACGTTAGCAAATGAATGTTTCACACTAGACTGGAACCAAACTTAAAGTGCAGGCAGTGCTAATACAGATAAGCAAACAATAAATGTGATATTTCTTCCGGAAAAATCACTGCAACAGTTAAAATATGGTCAAACATCACTATGACAGAAAATTTCTTCAGTCAAAAAAACAACAGCAACAACAAAAAAATCAGTGTCTCTAAATATTAGTTACAAAAACCTTTCACTCATAATGTGATGGAGTGCTGACTGTTGATTTTCATTCTGTGAATTTTCTAGTATGAATTCAATAACTGTTGCTAGAAGAAAGAACAAACACCTAAGAAGTTCTCTTCCCTGCTGCAATGTGAAGCCTTAGTAGCCCGTAATTTCCAGTGAGTATTCTTAACTGCTCTTCATACTGCCACAAACAGAAAATCAGGATGATTAAAAATAAAACAATCCTAATACAGACTGTGTTTTTATTAAGTCTTCAAGGCCAGTCACAAGTTACCAGTTCCTGGTAGGCGCAATAAGGTTGACGTTGTTCAACTTCCGGCCTAAGCACACAGCACTATGAAAATACACTTCACAGAATTATTGCGAAAAGGTTAACAATTCTTTCATCTGCATTACTGCAGAAATACAAACCGTGCAGTTCGTATCCATACAGGGTCCATGTTGAAACTCATTCAGCTGAACTTGGATATTTGATTCTTTCTGTAACAATGTGCTTTTACATTAAAAGAAAACTTCCGTTCGCAGAATTTTCATCGGAAATTCATAGAGTAAATGAAAAAGAACCGATTGTTCTTTCTTCATTTTAGCCATATTTATTCTTTCAGACACTCATTTTTCTTAAAGCAAGCAAAACTCCACTGCATTACTCTGTGTTTTAGTATACCATTAAAAAGACATCATTCATCATCTTATATTAACTAGTTTAACAATACTGAACTCATGTAACTGCTCAGTGCTTTTGAAATTACATGTTCTTTAACATAAATCAGCGGCAACCAGCAATTTCACATTATAAAAGATGAATAATTAATATCAAAATTTGATCACAGTAAATAAAAGAAACAAAAGATCTAAAGAACAAATAACGTAACAGTCTACTATCTTATTTACTACTTGAAAGAGAAAATAAACAAACTTCTCCCTTTTCTATAAGAAAAGGCCCTCCTTGTATCTGAAAACATTAATTTGCTTTGTACAACTACATTTTTAATACTTCTGCATACTTTTTTCTTTTGTAGTTAGGGGGAAAAAAAAAGAATAGGGAAAGAAAAGTGAGTAAAACATCGGTAATTTGTTTAGGTGGTGATGCAGGCTGTTCTCCGATCAAATTTTGTTTCCCAAAGGAAGATATCAGTTTTAAATTACACAGCAAGCAGGCAAAAAAAAAGGAAGCCAACAATCAAAACCTTCCCAGGAGGGGTAAGAATAAGGCTAGAGCTCCAGAGATCCTATTTAATAAATAAACACCTTCATTTCTGTAAGTTAATTTCACCAAAGAAAATAAGTTTAGCTTTAATTGCATTGCTTTATGTCATGTTTTATAAAAGGTACACGAGGCTCATTGACTCTCTCTTATTAAAGCCTTTACACGCTGTGGAGATGCTACATGTAGATTAAGTCTCAGTACAGCCTTCGTAGTAGAGTGCAAAGTGATGCAAACGCAAAATTTTCATCACAATTCTAGATCCATGACAAATGCTGAGATTAAGAACAACATTTATTTTTTTTTCCAAACAACAAAAGGCACAAACAATTAGACATAAAAATATAACTATTATTTACTCAATAAAATGTACCATCAACACAAAGCTTGGCTCGTTCAGTTAAAGGAGAAGTTCTTCCATAAATCCAGAACCCTAAGAGGTTATATGAAATTAAAAGCAAAGTTAATAAAAATTCATTTCCAAGAAATAAAAAAAATTCAGAGTTTTGCTATCTAACTTGGACCACATCATGTTGAATGATATGCTAAGAGTTGTGGAACACTGGCATAGCTTTCTTGGACCTTCTGTCGGCATTCCCTATCATAAGACATCAAGTCAACTATGGGAATTCTGTCTTACAAGGCAAAAAGTAAACGTTAATAGAATTACCTTTCTTTTCCTTGGGGCAGAGTTACGATGCACATTCATCATCACTTCTCTCCCTGTTGCCCCCAGTTGCAGCAGCTTTCATTTCAGACAGCAACCAACAGGTTGCTTGTTCTTCCACCTGCCGAGGAAAAATAAATTCCCTACAATAATGCTGAATTCTTTAAGATAGGTCTAATTTGCTATGATTTTTCAGTATCTAGAGTTATACACCCATGCAATGCTTTCTGCAGTTTCTAAAGAACAAGAACAAATCCTGGGAACTACGGTCACGGAAGAGAGAGGTCTATTTATATCCCAGACTGCTACTTGTGCAGAGCAGGCATCGCCTTCTCTTGCTATCAGCCTAATGCTTCTAAGGATTAAAGAAATATTTCAGAAAGGGGTAGAACTCTTGTAGCACTGACAACTTCACACGAGACATAAAATTCTGAAAAATGTAACTCTTACATTCCATACAGTTTGCTGTTAAACAGTTTGAAGATAAAGGGAAAGCCAGTTAGATGAATAGGGAATGTATGCCAACCACAAAACTAATAGACCCTAGGCAGTGCAGCTGGGCTTGGACTAGGCGCTGAGAGTAAGTTCAGAAAATATTTATACATATTTTTAATATTGAAGTTAATTTCCATCGAGACATGAGCTACGGTGAGTTGTACAAAAATCATCTCATTTCCATTTATATTCCATTGCATATTTAATGCATATTACAAGGGAGATGCTACACTATGCTTCCTTACTTTGATCACTTTCCTGTCCTATTGTAGTTCAACAATGCGTGCAAGTGTACTGTTCTTATTAGAGGCATGGTTTAGAGAAGCTAGGGGAGTTGAACAGCATTTCTATTTCAACTGTTGAAGCATCCAGTAACTTTGGATGTCACTCACACTTTCAGACAGAATACTTTCAGGCATATTATTGGGATCAGTAAATAGCCGTATGCCGTAACTACCATTGCTAATTTGGGGCAAGCGCTCCAAAGTGCATATAAAGAAGAATGTGTTCAAATGCAGCATCCATGAAAAGTTGATTTAAATATTTTAGTACACTTCTAGTATAGGTCGTTACATTTTGAAAAACGTTGATCATTTTCTTCTTAATATGGATCTTGATGGTATCACCAGGTTATCCAACAAAGTCTGTTTTTGCTCTACATAAATATACTATATTCAAGACTAATCAAATCTTAGATTGTCACATAGATTAGCTAAACTTCTGTTCACAAAACTTTTAAAATATGTTGCTTCCTTAACCTGTAGCCTAGCTCTTCCACATCTGTTCGGACATATTCAGTAATATTCATTGCCTACTTACAACAGAGATACAGTTTGGGAAGGGCATTTCATTAGGTGTCAATATCTTGCATATTGCTATTGCCCAGTATTCTGTAGCTAGCAGATCAAAGTTCCCATTTTTGTGAAACGGCTGTAGGTTTGTCCTATAAATTTATTTACATTTGCCAAGTATCACAGGTCATGAAGTATTTTCACCTTCTGAAAGATGCTCTCTATCTTCGTTTTAGTAAAGCATTATGCTATCAGGTTCCACTCCACTGATTAATGACTAATGTCCCTCTCCCTTCATCAGCTCTTTCCCTTGTTTTATAACTTATGAATTTCAAGAGGAAGCTAGTTCATGCAGAAAGTAAGATATTTAGAGAGCATCTCCACTGCACAGTGCCATTGCTATAGCCTTCATTACAGCTTACTGCTTACGCACATCTAAAATTGTAGGTTAAAAAAAATAAAAATAAAAAAAAAAAATACAGGAGAACATGTATACTGGTAGGCAGCTACATAATGTATTATCCAAGTGCTAGCATTTTCCCCATGCCTTTGCTCTGTAGCTCTGTAAATTAAGAACTAATACAAGATGATGATACTAGAGACCATGACACGGGGATTAACTCTGCGTTTGCCTTGCACTTTGTGTAATCAGTGAATATACGGATATTACAAATAAGAAATATACAAGAAAGTTAGGCTAAACAGGTTATCACTCTGAAGAAAAACGGATGGAAAGCTTACCCTTGTCCTGGGCTAGCTAAGAAGATTCCAGAAAGAGCAATCTCCAAAAGAGATCCTTGCCCAGCGGTAGTCAGCTGTTAAATGGGGTCTAGGAGACGTGGAGCCAGGCTCCACCCCTTCCAGCAGCACAACTGAATTACCTTCACCAGTGCTCCAGGGCTGTCTCCTCGCTCTCCTCTGATGGTCACAGGTTCAGGCCATGATTCAGAAGTTCCCATACACTGTTAAATTCATCATTAGCATACGTGCACCTAAAATGAATACAAGAAATGCTTTCACGCACTGTAGTATTGCAGAGATGAACTCTGGATTTTGCATAGAGCCAGCATATAGCCAAATGCAAGCAAACACACAATCCACACACCTAAAATATTGGTAGCTTATAGTCACAACAGAAAATGATGTGTCATTAGTAAAGATAAAACTGTACCTTTCTCAAAATGCCTTGATTCTTCCTCTCAAAAGCCACAGTTTCAAAACACTTCTCTCTCCTAAGCAAACAGCTACTAGGAATGAAAAAAATGCCAAATATTCAGTAGGTCAGGTAGAATGAAAATTACAAAAGCAGACGCAGTCCATCATTGTTACTTTTCTGTTCTGTAAAAGCAAAAATTCTAGGCACATCATTAAATTACGCCCATGGTTCCACATACACAAAATTGGTGAGGAATAAACAATAAATGTGAAGACATTTCATTCTAGAAATATTAATTTCATCTTGGCTTGCAGCATCTGCATTGCTAAGAAGCATCCAACTATACCAAGTATGAGAAGCCAAATAATTACTGATATTTACCACCTCCCCGTTACTGTTTTGTGATGGTCACAGTAGTCAAGTTCTGAGTGAAATGAAGGGCAACTTACGATAAAATTTATGATTGCTTTCTTAGCCAACTTATATTCCTATCAGAAATCTACAGTACGATTTTTCTGCCTCACTTTGCATAATGGAAACGTGCACTGCAAAAACACCATCTACCCCTCACGCATTGGAATACCACCCTTATGTTGGAATATTCCAACTTGAAAAATATCAGTGAAGTCTGATCCGCAGAGCTCATTTACAGCAGTTCATTATTGTAAAAATGTTAGCTCTTCAAAAGAATTGGAACCTAAAATAAGGGTATCATCCTTTTTCACTAATAATAATTATAATAATCATAACAACACATTAACAGAAAACAGGCCAATAACAAATGGCTGGCCATTTTTGTTATTTCATTCCTTTCAATAATACTTTCATGTCTAATGAAGATGATCGTAATTACTGTTTTAATAAGAAGGCTGCATAAGAACAGACATCAAATCTGCCAATTTCAGGACTGCTGTGAAATCACTGTTTTCAATGCAGTACAGGAAGAAAAATGCGTAAACTCTGAAAAACTGCTTACAAATACATGAAGACATTGCTTTTATGCAAATCGTATCATGGGTGTCACAAAAACAGGTGATTTTAAATATTAGAGAATGTTTAACCCAGTTTTTCCTAAAACACTAAATGATACCTAGATGATAACTATTCCAGAGATTATAGACTTCATAAAGGAGCACTATAACCCCAACCCATCAGCAATTGGATTGAGTCTGAAATGTAATGGCAAGGGTCAGCATTAAGGTGAATCTATTTTTGTATATGTTGCAACAAAAGCTATCAAACAAGTTCTTCCAATTTGCAGGCATTGAGAGACGCCAGGTTATCTGACAGATTAGCATGGGAACTAAGTGAAACTGTCACAGAAAAATGACTGCTAGCAGAATGAAATTTAGATTTAAAATGCATCCTGGAAATATCTCTTAGAAAAGCGTCAACAACAAGGAATTCACTGACTTCCCAAAGGGCAAGAGGTTGTGTATTACACCAAATCAATCAGCTATGCTCCTCCACTGAAGAGAACAAGAGCTAAAAGTGACTGAATTTATTAAAAGGAAGAGTGAGACCCTATAACTAGGGACATGGGTTGCAGCATTTAAAAGCAGAAAAAGCATTATTCCAATGGATGCAAGAAGAGAACCAGAGTGATCCATTTCCTTTGGAAGATCAGAGCGTTCCTGTATGCTGAGGAAACCACATGCGATGCCCTTGTTTCCATATCACTAGGAATGTTCTGGTAACTCTAACAAACCACTACTCAACCCAGAAATATGCACAAATGGAACATATCCACTACTGTTCCTCATTTACTTGATGTAATCATGTTTTACATATGTTCAATATACATATACATATTTGTTTTATATAAAGGGTACTATATTTAAGCATATAAGTAATAAATACTACTGAAAGCTTCTAAAACCTAGAAAAACTAGAGAATGAATCCTCCTCAAGCATTCCTAGAGAAAAGGGTACCTTCTTTCAACAGATTCCTTTTTCTAAATTCATTTATTCTACATCTTTTCCCTCCCCCAGGAACACTGGATAGAAACTTTCAGAACTTGTTTCTGCACAAAATACTGGCTGCTCTAGGCTGTTCAGAAGAACTAAAAGGGTTATTAAAAAAAAACATGCAGTTGGATCTGTATTTATTTATTTATTTTGTTCAAAATGGAAGGTTTTATTAAGTCAGTAAAGTTCAATCAAACTCACCTCAATGAGCAGCCTGAGCCTACAGGATTTCGGCATAAAGCAAGTATCAATGCTACCAGACAGCCATCTTGGAAGCCTGCAGAACAAACAGATATTCATTTTGTATTCCAAAAAGGTGCTGGTTGGTATTGTAAAGTCATAAAAGTGTATTAAACCAGCATCTTAGAATTCCTTCAGTGGCAAACCATAACCAGCTGCAGTCACTCTGCTGTATAATATTTTTAATTTGTTGAGTATAGAAGAAGAATGGTGTAGAGGGGGAAAAAAAAGAAGAAGAAATGATAGGAGCCTGCTATCCAAGAGGAGTTAGTGATCTAACAGCCTTTATATCATTACAGTGTGCTAGCCTAGGTTGTTCAAACTCTCAGATTGCCTCCCTGCTGTTCTAGATACTTAAGTAGCAGAATGCAGTCTTTCTTCCCAGCATTCAAGGATATTTGGTCTGATTTTACTTCCAATGCCAAAGGCAAAATAGAAAGACATAATTTAACTGAGAGTATAAACAAACAGAAGAACTGCTATTCTCAAGATATTTCTAACTGTACTTCAGTGATTTTTCATCATTTTAAAGCATGATAATCTTAATTTTTTTCTATTCTTCAAATGTGGATATATCAAAAGTAGCCCTTTGAAAAACTTGAAAAAGTTGCATGTATGCATAAGCCCCAGTGTTTAAGTCAGAATTACCCATCTTCACAAGTATATACTTTTTAATTAAAATAATGACCCTAAGTAATTCCACTGAGGCCTGAGTAGAAAGCACTTGTCAGTTCCCAATATTTACAAACATGCCTTCCCTAGAGACAAACTTACTGTCAATAACCAGGTTCCCTGAAGAATCTGAGTGAGGAATACTAAATGTAAAGTTGCAAGCTCAGAATTAACACAGTAGGTTACGTGTTATTAACGGACAATTTGTCTATTATATATTTACTTTTTCTAAATACCGTTGCTCACTCAGCTATTCAAAAACTGATGAAATTCTTATGAGTGCCAACCATTTTTAGCAAAATACAGAAGAAAATGGATAATAGCTCTCCAGAGTACAACATATTTTTAAGAATGGATTTAAAAACATATGCCAAAAGTCAGAGGAAAAAATAGTAAATGTTTGAGTTTCATCACCAAGGCACCTCATTTTCTCATTAAAAAAAAAATAAAAATAAAAATCAATACAAAGTCAAACTAGATGAAACTTTTTGGAGACTAAACCTCCAACAACTTCCATGTGACATGCAGTGTATTTACACTCTGAAAAACACATCTCACAATGACGAATGTGAGAAATGATGTCTGCGCTACCAACAATCTTTCTCTGTTAGACTTGCTTGATACAAGCCAGTTAGTTTGGTAATGCAGAAGACACGTGGGCATGCAACCAAAGAAAATGAAGAGATTCTTGAGCTCTCAAGAGAGACAAAAAAGTTGCATCTTCCCGATTTTGGATAATGTATTTATGGAGTAAACAGGGCAGTAAACTGATGTTAAACATTCCTGAGAAGTGGCATTCATCCTTTTTTTCCATTCCCTTTAATTTCCTGATAAACGTACATCAGTGACTCACAAAGTGTCACAGATGTGTTCCGCTTAGACAGCAGAACAGAAAGATAATACCTAAAAAACTAAATGTAGTTTTGCAAAGTTATCTTGTCCAGGTCTCACGAGCAGAACAAATAATATCACTACTGAAGTTTCACTCCTAGTTCCCAGCAAGTTCAGCCACATTTCTTTTAAAGTAGAAAAGAGCAAAGGGCAGAAAAGAAGTCCACTTAATTTTTTGGACATTGATATTATGTCAAGGCAGAACAATTCTTAATGGATACAGTTTAACACCATATTCTTAATTAGGAAAAGCTATTGGGTTTTGAAGTCTTTTGCATAAAAATTGGCTTCAATAGGTCAAGGAGTGCAGCTAAACCTCTCAAACACTTCCCATCCTTCAACCTACTGTCCGTTTTCAAAATGTCACAGCTCTAAAATTCTTTCTAAGTCTTTCCTGCAGGATTTACATTGGGAATATTGAAGTTACAGTAGTAACAAGAATGTGGGTCTTCTGAACACGTGACCACTGAAGCACACGGCAGCTGCAACTAAGGAGCAGCAGAATGTCTTCACGAAGAACACCCAGTCCGACAAAACTTTCATGAGAAGATTATCAATTCTAGTAAAGTACATTCTTCTGAGTAGTAAAATATAACAGTGAAATTATGAAATTTCGAGTAAGCTGATCTGGTTGAGTAAGTGCCAAATTCTTTCAGAACATAGTCAGAGAATGAGGTTTCTAAAATTCAGTTGCTTATTCAGCGGTATCAGAACAAACAAAACTATCAAGCTACTATCACACGGAATTTCAAGGGGAGATGAAGGGGGGAGTTGAGAAGCTCTGTTCTAAACAACGTGTTTATCTTGAGGTCATTTTTGTCTCTATTTTCTCTCCAAATGGGTCAGAGTTTCAGATAACACAAGTATTTTCTGGAACCATCCTTGTCATCTACGCTTGTTTTTTGTGTGTTTGTGGGTTGTTTCCCCCCTGCCCCCCCAAAACACCACACCTTCTGAAATGGTCTAAAATTTTGCAATGCTGTCACATGATCCCATGTTTTGTTGAGCCATCTATTTTTAAATAAATAAATAAATAAAACAACTCTGCTTTTCAAGTTCATCCATTACTACAGAAAGAGTTGTATACCATTTCATTGAATTGCTTGAAATGGCTAATTGTGGAATAGCGTACGTAAGAGTTCAAGGGTTGGTTAAAATTCATAGTCTTGACTAGAGTCCATATGAGATACAAATAGTCGAATGTTAAAGGATGGTATTAAATAAACAAATATCAATGGTTTAAACATGCTTCATCTAACAGTACCACTGAACTGCGTATTTTATTGAACTGCTCTTGAAGTGAGAAGACTGAAATGCAAGACTTATTCAATTACAGAACTCTGGATGATTTATCATTCCAGTAATTTGTTTTAAGTTACAACTACTGGATCAATAGAAACTTAATAAATAGTCTTATGTTGATAAAAAAGGATATATTGGGTCTAAGTAATCAAAATTAGGATGTCTAAATTTTCTTTTAGTACTTTACAGAAATTAAGACTGGGTTGATATATTGCAATTAATTTCTCCACCAGTTTCTTTAGGAGAAAACACGTGTTTTTTTTGTTTTTTGTTTTTAGATATATATAGATATAGATGAAGGCAAAGAAAGGTTACAAACAAACGCACACACACACACAAACACACACACACACATCCCTATGAAGGAATTCCCATTTGCTTATATATTACCTTCGTCTTTCAGAATTATAAAAATTCATCATTAACTGACTGTAAGAAGCAGTCATGATTTTATGATTTTTGGTTATTGGTATTGTACATCACATAACACCATGTAATGCACTGGGAGTTAAAGAGTTAATGCTCCAGTTCTGTGAATTGTGAATACTTCTGGATACCTGGTTCTCAGAAGAGAACAACTACATACTACATGCCCCAGAGGACTTCGTGTTGTTCCGTTCCATTTTCCATTCAGAGATGAAGATAAAACTGTTCACTTCACTATACCTCCTGTATTGCTCTCCCTCGCAACACAGCATAAATTACTGAGCACAGGTTTTTGCTACTACTGTTTCATTGTTCAAACTAGCCACACCTAAATTTTAAAAACAAATTTCTTCAATTGTTTCATTCAGGAACTGCTCAGAATGAGATAGTTAATGGCTCATATTTGAGCTGAACTCAAAAAATGATATAACCCATTCACTTCAACAAGCAGCAAATTGTGCCCAAAGGGCTCACATGGGATTTACTCTTGGACTTCTAGTAAGCCTCTACACATCACTGATCTTAACCTACCTTGAATTTATGAATGAATAAGGCCAAGAAAATATATTTTAATGGCTATTTCAATCCTAAAACGTAGTGAAAAACTGCATCTGTATTCTGATCCATCATTCGGTCATTCCTCTGAAATAAATTATCAGTCTATATAATGCCCACTGTAGTCCATCTGTATTTTGAATATTAGTAAAACCTGTAGACAATAGGGAATATTACATACTGATTAAAGGATACACATTCATTGCCATACAAATGAAGATGACTTCAAATGTTAAGATTAGGGAAACTGATAAAAATAGGAAGGCATAATTCAGGAAACAATTACCCACCCCAGATGTGAGAATTCTACAGATTTAATTAAAAAATATGCAGAATGCGTTACTGTCCATTAAAGCACATCCCATGGAATTCGTTAAAGCCTTCTCCCTTGTGCAGGTGACAAAAATTCCATTATGTACAGGAGAAATAAAGCACAGCACAAAGAGGCAGTGGCAAATTAAATAGGGACTGACCTTTTCATAGCACAAAATTATATTATTCAAAAAAAAAATAATAATAATAATCAAGGAATTTGGACAAAAAGGATGAAACGAGGGAGAAAAAATGCCAAAGAAGAGGTCTCATTTGTTTACAGAGCAGTTAGGATAGAGAATTTGCAATAGTAATTAAGCTATTATTCAATGACAAAAAGTGGAAAGAAAAAAAAAAAAAAGCAATTACTAAAGAAACCTCACTGACACCTGGCCTAAAAATATATATACCTTGGTTAGAAAGCACTTGAAATAAGCAATGAGAGAACTCCTCTTTACACTGCTTTATCCAAAATGAAATGAGCCAAGTTATCTCCGTCACCTCATTTGTCTCCTTTCTGTTCTTCTCTATATTGTTTTCATTTTGGACTGAAGTACCTTTCAGAGATCCCATAAGTAGCTGTAGACAGGCATTTACATAGTCTGGAAGTACTTTCCGTATTTCTTTATCACTCCTTGCCTACTTAATGTCATTTACTGAATTGTTTTCAAGTATAAGTGGAGAAAAAAAAGATAAAACTGAATGCTGTTGTGGATGGCAATGCTCTTTTCGGGGAAGACAGAAAGGCAAGATGATGGAATTGCTGTTCCAGAGAGAGAACTGGAATGTATTAAGCTCTGCCAAGGGATAAATGAAGAACTAGTGGAGAGCTAGTGCGTGAGGCTCAAGAGGCAAGTAAATGCTGGTGACTTCACTGGGGGTGTTTG